TCCAGAGGGCACAGGCTTGACTTAGTTGTGGCACACAGGCTTAGCTGGCCCGCAGCATGTGAAATCTTCCCGGACCAGGGATTGAACCCATGTCCCCTGCATTGGCAGGTCAATTCTTAACCACTAGGACCACCAGGGAAGCCCCAAATAACTCTAAGAATGAAAAGGCATTCCACTTTTGAGGACCACAAAAAGGCAGGGCTTTGGTCAACAAGCCAGTAGTTTGCTAAGCCCTGGTCTAGACTAAGGGTTCGTGGTGTGGAGGCAAAAAGCTGGGCAGAAGATACATGGGGTGATAGGAAGATATGTCAGATCCTGCAGCATTCTTCATCAAAGGATCAGCCTGGGGACATGGCTTGGACTGAAGGCTTGAAGAGACTGAAGCATAAGACTGAGAGGTAGGAATTCTCAGGTCCAAAGATGAAGTCCATCTCATTCATTAAGACCATAAAGCAAAACCACCCTACTATGCTGCTACTGGATCCCTGACTGTCAACATGTGTGTGATAATAAATGTTTGTTGTTTAAAACAATCCACATGAGAGCTCTGACTGGCTTAGACTTTCGTGGTCAGAGGAACTGAGAGCCTTCAACCCCCAGGTACCACTGAGACCCTTTGTACCCACAAGAAGGAGGAAAGGGCCTCCTCCCCATGCCCACCTGAGATACGGCCTTGGAGGACTGTGGACCAGAGAGATCATCACGCTGAGCGGAACCAAACAAATCCTGCACTGACAAACCCCTGGTCTTACTCCCACCATGGAAGGGAGTTCTTGGAACTGGTAACCGGCAAGGAAACCATGCATGGACCACTGGGCACTGACGCTTATCCTGCTCATCCATTTTCCAAACTGGATCATTTATTGTAGACCTCCTGTTCTTTCTCCCTATTCCACACTGGGTGCCTTTGGGAGCCTACGACGACTCTAAGTCACAGGTTGCTGGGCTGTAAGGAGCCACACTGGGCCTAATGGATATCAACACATCACCAAGTGACCCTGGAGTGGTTGTGACTTCAGGGTGTGTACCTCCTGGCAAGGGGTATGGTTCATTTCATGAATGTATAACTTTGGACTACTTTTGGCATTCCTTAGGGAAAAGTGAAAGCTCTGCTTTAATTTTTCTTTCTTTTTTTTTGGGGGGGGGGGAGAGTGTGCCTTTATGATAGTCTTCTTTTCATCATCACCCAACCCTTTAAAGCAGAAGTCTTTTAAATACAAACTGAAGAACAGGACTGGCTACATAACTTGTGGAGACCATCGTAAAAGGAAAAGATGGGGTTGTTTGTCCAAATATCATTAAGAATTTTAAGATGGTGCTAGCCGATCATTAACCAAGCATGGGGCCCTTTGAGGTGTGGGCAGGCTCCTCTGTCACTGTCGGTCACTCATCCAGAAAGCTGGCCCATGAAAGCAGAAGATAGACTGAGAAATCCTCCTATGACCAACTTTCAGCCCCTCCCAGCTGTCTGTACAAGCCACCCATTAGGACCCTGCCACTCAACATGGCAGCTTCTTCCTCTAGATGTTGGCAGCGTTGGGAACACTGGAGTCTACTGCTCTGGGTAATCTGGTTTTAAACTTTATTTTTCAATGTACAATTTCAGATTATACAAAACATAGAAAAGGGACTACTTTAAAGGCACATTAAGTAGAAAGTATCTAACTACTCTTAAAGTCACATTTGTCCCCAAATCAAGATTCCAACTTAACCTCTACACCTTTCCCTAGCGTCTCCCCATCACCACTGCACCCCCCCCCACCCCGCCAATATACAAAACTGTCCAACTTGTTGTATTGTAAGTAATCTTTCAAATTAGTGAGTTTAGTAATTCCCATCCAGACAGATTTTAAATGAGGCTACAGCATCTATTCAAGCTACTGCATTTAGTGTGCTTACATACAGGCCTGGGGGGTTAGGTTTCTTCATCACCAGTGAATACAGAGCATCCTAGGGCTTCATCCTGTGGATTAGGGATGCGCAGAGGCACACAAACCATTGTAGAGAACGTGGGGCTGGGTGGGGGGGAAATGTCTCCAATTTTCCTGTATTCAGGTATGAGTATATACATTCACGCAGAGCAACAAATGAAGCATTCTCCAAACTAATTTGAACAGAGACCCAAAGTAATTTTAATGCGAGTAACAAAAATGAGTTAGTCTGTCTTCATTCATAGCCCCTCAATGAATTACAGTACTTTATAAAAATGTCCTAAAATATGCAAACTACAGTTCCCTCAAATGAAGTTGTCATCAGTAATACATTTGGTCCTAATATTTGCCTCTTGGATGTCTTAGCTCATTGTCTCTGTTGTTGTCCTTGAGTAACTGATCATGAGCACCAAGGGCTGAACCTACCGATGGGTAAGAAGGTTGGGTACTGTCTTGCTCATGCCATCACTGCTTTTCCACCTCCCCAGGGCACATCACGTCGTGGGGGGAAAGGAAGCTCTGTTGCTTCACAAAACCTTGGCATCATAGATGGATGTGGGCGCTGAATGCTATACAGGAATAGTGGAGAGACCAGCCAGGGAAATCCATGGGTCATTTCAGATCCCACTCCTAGAGCCTTTTGGAAAAGGAAATCCATTCATTGCTTAGGGATGAAGCTTTCTGAATTCTGATTCTAAGGGGTTCTGCTTGTTTCCACTGTGGCTATCAGGGAGTTACAGACAAGACACCCGAGCAGAAATCTTGGGGGCACTTACACCTACCTTCCTCCACAAGGTGTGTGTAGCATCCCGCCAAGCCCAACAGCGTGACCTGCACTCCTACCCCAAACAGGACTAATGAGGGCACTTACACCTACCTTCCTCCACAAGGTGTGTGTAGCATCCCGCCAAGCCCAACAGCGTGACCTGCACTCCTACCCCAAACAGGGCTAATGAGAGTTTTCCAGAGGCAGGAAGTGATCATCTGGCCCCATGCCCCGCTGCACTGTGCTGGTGGCCTCTCTGCAGGGACGGGAGCCCTGTCTCAGGCAGGATGTCTGGATAGGCCTGTGTTTTCAGAGCCTTGCACAGTGCTTGGAACACAGCATTTAGTATTCTGCTGAAACTGAATGCAGTGAACGGGTAGATGGCGAGAAAACCTGATCCTGCATGAAAGAGGTATCCATGGAGACCCTGGATGACTTAAACCAGACATTTCCCCAGCTCCACAGGAAGTGGGCTGACGCTTCATTTAGCAGGAGGTCATTTACACGGCACCAGTGCTGACATGCGCAGACGGGTCCCAGGCACACCTCCCAGCAGCAGGCTCTCAACGCGGGAGGGAACAGGGAGTGAGAGGCAAAGGGCTTCTCCCATAGTCACGTCCTGGGGTCCCCGTGCTGCCCCCCACCTCACAGCGCTGAGGATCCTCCCGGAGCCCTACTCCTCCGTGCAGCCTCGGAGTCCCCGGCTGCACTTACCGGGGCCCTGGCAGGCAGCGTCCCACGAGAGGCACGTGCACCCACTGAAGGCGAGAACCACGGCAATCTAGGGCCCTCCCGGGGCTTCATCCTCTGTCAGGACCCTGGGCCCCTCCAGGGAAGGAAGCGTTCTCCAGGTGCCGGGCGGCCTGCGCGGCTCCATCCGCGCCACCTGCCTCGGCTGAGTGGAGCGATATTCAGGCTCATCTAAATCCTCCCGGAGCTTTTAAACCCAGGCAGGCTCAGTGCGGGCCCCGCCCATCCCATGGGCCTCTCTTCTGAATCCTTGGTTGTGTTCTCGGCAACCTTCACCGCTGTTCGCAATTCGTTTCCCTAATCGGTTTTTAATCTGTCTCCTCCGTTAGACAATGAGCCCCACGAGGAGACAGGCTGTCTGGACATGGTTTCCCCTGTGCCTGGCACAAGCACTCCATCACTTATGTGGACGGATGAATGAGTGGCGAACAGTCCTCTATGACTCCAGAAGTGAGGCGTCGTAGAGGTCAGGCAGCCTGAGAAGGCAGAGCAGGAGGAGAAGGGAGAGGCCTTCTGAGTTAGGGTAGGGAGGAAGCTGTATCCTCCCCGCACCCCACTCTGGGGTGTTTGGCTGTCAGGATGCAAGCCCTGGGACTGGACTTTGGGTGGTCCAGATGTGAGCAGCTGTGGAAGGGGCAGTGAAGGATGAGCCAGTGCTGGAGGCCAAGGCGTGGGCTTTCAGTGCAGTCTAGACCCACCTCCCCATCTCCACGCGATGAGATCTTTAACATGTATGAGGCGGTTCTGCTCACCTGGCCCTGGGACCGCCACGGTCCTCAATTTTAAGGCACCTGAGCATCACCAAGGAGCTTGTTACAAATGCAGGTTCCCAGGCCCCATCCCCGAAGACTCTGATTCTGTAGGTCTAGGGAGGGACCCAGAGAGCCTGCATTTTACAAGGTGCCCAGGGGATCACGTGTGTGCCTAAATCAGACCCCCAGATTAAAGCTCACCTTCCTGAAGGCAAGCAGGTACACTGTCAGCAAATGTGGGTGGCACTTTCTGAAGCTAGTCCATGACAGGAGGATTGGGGCTCTGGTCTGGATGTAGACAGAACACCGGGGGGTTTATACCCATCTCTCATGTGGAACTTGGCTAGGCATCCAAGGAGGTTTTCTCCCATACCCGGACCCCGCTCCCCACCTTCCACCACTAAACACACAGATTCAGTACAGAGAAGCTGAGGTGACGGAGGGGGGCTCAGTGTAGCCCAAACCTAGGGGAAGATGCCCCCAAGACCTGGCTTTCTCGGCCTCTTGTCCATCCCATTACATCCCCGTGGTTAGGAAAGATCCTGCTGAACACTTTTGGATTTGAGCATTGCAAGATTTTTGGCTTTGTCGTGTTGAGGCTTTCGGATGGGCGGGAGGTCTGAATTCCAGCCTTCATAGTCTAGTCTCTGATCTCAAGAATGTAAAAACTCCTCCTTTGGCTTTTAAAGGAAACAATGTGTTTGCTAGAAAAACCACACACACAAAAAAACTGATTATATACAAAACGGTTATCTGAACATGGATTCTGAACCGTGGCGAAAGCCACCCAGCTCCTGGGCCCTACTTGCGCTTCCTCAGTATCAGATACATGAGGCCGCTGATGAAGGTGAATGCAAAGGCCACCCAGGCCAGGATGAAGGAGTAGCCGAAGCTGCCGCCCGACGTCTGGGCATACAGTTCTCTGTTGTTCTCGTGAATATCTTTGCGCCGGTCTGTGTAAATGGAAGCTGCGATCATGACACACAGGCCTGTTGGAAGAAAGCCAGGGCCCAAATAAATCACAGACCACAGCGTGCACCGGGGACCCGAGGGGACTGTGGTCGGAGCTGAAGACAAATTTCAGGTTTTATTATTAGTAGGCATTTATTTTAGTCTCTTGGAAAGATTACAACTAGCATTTTGTGGCAGAATATTGATTGCCCTCTAGCCATTCAGCTGCCCATTCTTGCTGGCTGAATCCAGTGTTGTTTAGACAGCCAGCTACCCAACCCAGGGGCTCATAACTGCTCCAGGCCATGGGTCAGCCAGGCAGGAAGTAGTGTGCTTTGCAGGACACATACGGTCTCTATTGCAACTACTCATCCTGTCCTGTTTACTTGATATAGTTTATGGTTTTATATGTTCCAGTTCTGGCCACAGAAAATTCTACAGTGAAAGTTATTACACCCTGAAAAGAGGGAGATGAGAGAGGAGAAAGCATTTTTTGATGCTGTATTTTCCCTTGCTTGCTGCTTTAGAAACTCTTAGGTCAGGATGAATGTCAAGAGCTGCAGCAGCCCTTTTGGGGCCATAAGGAAGCCATCACTGACACTCTGAAGATGCCGGCATGGAAGGATGGAAAGAATGGAGGGTTCCTGATGCTGCTGCTGAGCTGCCAAACCAACTCCGGCACCTTCCACCTTCAAGCTATTTGTGATATTACAAACGTAAAGTTTTTGTGTCTGAAGTCATTGCTAATTGGATTTCTCTCTTAATCACAGCTGAAAACATCCCTACTGAACCATCAGCGTTCACAGATATTAGTGGTACAATGAGGCTAAGTACCCAGATTTTCCTTGGGGGGAGAGCTATGCCTCTCTCCTCTCTACCAAGACAGCAACTCCTACTTACCCTACAGATCCTAGCTCAGGCTTCACATTTTTAGGACGCCTTTCCTGACCCCCTAATTAAATCCAAACTCTGAAGTGCACAAAAATCCCAGCTGCTGAGCCCTCCTTTCCAATTCCTCACCTGCCACGCTCCTCCCACCAGAATACTCATGGTTGGCTGGGAAGGGAGTGTTTACTCTGGGAAGCCCGTCATTTCACTTACAAGCCATGAGCTGGATGATGGAGGTTAAAACAAACCTCTCGCCCTGCTTAAGGCGGAAGAGTTGGAGCACGAAGATCAGAAAGGCGATGCAGGAGAGGATGGTGGACAGGATCATGGTGGCCTGGACCGCCTGCACCGTGGAGAAGTCTGTGGGGAGGGGCAAGAGTACGCGACTAAGGACCACAGACCACCTGGGCCCCTGGGGAGCACGGAGACAGCTCCAGAGCAGGGATGGTGGGAGCCAAGAGGTTGTGAGGATTCCACTGGCACAGGATGAGCACACGTGCAGCCAGTGAGTCATCCCGAGACCCACTGAGTCCACTTGTGCAATTCACCAGATGAGCCCCAATGTCCTTATCTGGAAGATGGTGTGAGAACCACCCACTCTGCAGTCCTCCTGGTCTGGGTATTGCCCCCAGATGCCTGGCTCAATGTCGGTTTTTTTTAAGTACAAACTCTCAGATCCTGAAAGATTCTGGATCAAGAGGTTGGAATGGGATGGGTTGGGTGGGGGTTGGGGGTCCTGCACCTTATAAAGACCTCCAAAGAAATTCTTAGACATATGGGGCTCATGGGGCTGAGGGACCTTCTGAAAGTGCCCTGTCGATACAAAATACCCTCTAAATATGAGTGTGAGCCTTGTGGTTGTTATTCAGGAAAAGGAAAAATGAGGGTCTTTTCAGATTAGCCTTAGTGAGCAGGGCGTGAAAGTTTGGGGCTTGGCACCGGGAAGTTTTAGGGGACAAAGGAGCTGGTCTCGGGTGGAGGGCACTGCATGTAGGAAAGACACAGCTGAGGCTGTGAGGAGGTCACGTGCATGCACTGGAGTCACCTGTGTGGGTCTCAGTTTCCTCACCTGTAACATGCGGAGAGTAAGAGCTCCCTTCATCAACAGGGGAAGGTGGAATGCTTGCAGCTATGTGAGGATTCCAGGTAGTGAGTGCATGCTCGTGTATGTTCAGTTGTGTCTGACTATTTGCAACCTCATTGACTGTAGCCCTCTGTCCATGGGATTCTCCAAGCAAGAATACTGGAGTGGATTGCCACTGTTTTTTTCTCCAGGGGATCTTCCTGATCCAGGGATCAAACCCACATGTGCTGCATTGGCAGGTGGGTTCTTTACCACTGAGCCAGCAGGGATACCAAGGATTCCAGGCAGTGCTGGCAGAAAGGGAGTCCTGTATAAGGGCTGGCTGTTACCACCAGGATGCAGCTGGTGAGGGGCACAGTGCCCAAAGCGGCAAAGGGAAACTTAAGGACAGATCTTTTTTTTTTCTTCAGTTTTGCTGGAAACTGACTGAAGGGAAGCATGATTTTTAATTACTTAATCCACTCTTTGGGCTTCCCGGTGGCTCAGTGGTAAAGAACCTGTCAATGCAGGAGATGTGGGTTTGATTCCTGCATCGGGAAGATCCCCTGGAGGAAAAAAAATGGCAACCCACTCCAGTATTCTTGCTTGGAGAATCCCATAGACAGAGGAGCCTGGTGGGCTATAGTCCTTGGGGTTGCAAAGAGTCGGACACAACTAAGCATGCAAGCACATGTAGAAAAAAATGAACTGTTTTAAAGCAGGTGTCAGGATGCTTTTTCTATAAAAGCTAAACAGTAAATATTTCAGGTTTTGTGGCTATACAGTCCCTTGTTCATCGTCTTGTTTTATTCGGCTTTCTTCTTGTTTTGGTTTTTAACAATGTACTAAAAATATAAAAAACCACTCTTAGCTTATTGAACTGAATCTGGCTGGTGGTTTGACAACCTGTTATTCTAAAGAAAAATAAGGGAATTCCCTGATGGTCCAGCAGTTAGGACTCTGCATTTCCACTGCAGGTGGCCTGGGTTTGATCCCTACTTGGGGAACTAAGATCCCACAAGCTATGCTGCGTGGTCAAAAAAAAATTTCTTAATTGAAAAAATAAAAGGTAATAACTGCACATGGGGAAGTGGTACGCAAATGACAGAAGCTTGGAAACGTTGCTTCAGAGCACCGCCAGTGTTGCCAGCTGACCACACACCCTGGCAACGATGAGGCTCCAACAGGGAAAAGTGGCTGTTTCCAGGGTCATGGCTTAGAATGGCAGAGAAGCAGACCCAGAGGGGAGGCAGCGTGGATGGCGTCATGTGGCTTAGAAGGCAGGCTTCTAAGCTGGTCATGTCTAGACTGGAATCCTAACTCCATCACTCACTCCTGACGTTGTGACCGTGGGTTTCTGCTGTGTGCCTCAGTTTCCCCATCTTGAAACAGGGCCAGGAGACCACTTATGTGAAGGACTTAGCCCAGCACCTCCCAGTAAGCCTTCAGTAAATGATGCCTCCTTTTGGTAGTTTTGCTTTTATTATGAATATCGCCATTGTTGATGATGGAATGCTAAGACTTTACACCCCAGTGAGCAAGGTCCCTTTGTCCTTAAATGGGATTCTAGGAAAAAAATAAACATAAAAGCAGGATGCTCGTTAAGTCTGAATATCAGGACAATTTATTTTAGTGTGTGTCCCATGTAATATTTGGTACTAAATTTTTCATTGTTTATCTCAGATATCAAATTTAACTGGCTGTCCAGTGTTTTATCAGCCAAAGTGTCTCTTTTGTCAGTTCTGCAACAGAAAACTGAACCATTCACTCCACAGTGAAGGAGAAGGCTTGACATGTTTTTAGATGCAATTTTCTATATTTACAAAACCCTTTATTTTTCTGAGGCCTCCAGAATGGCTCAGTTGGTAAAGAATCCGCATGCAAGGCAGGAAACCAAGGTTTGATCCCTGGGCTAGGAAGATCCGCTGGAGATGGGAATGGCTACCTGCTCCAGTATCCTTGCCTGGAGAATCCCATGGACAGAGGAGCCTGGTGGGCTGCAATCCATGAGTTGCAAAGGGCTGGACACGACCGAGCAGCTTTCACTTCACTATCTTTCTACTGTAGCTCACGTTCCGAGGCAGCACAGCAGAATTGCTGCTGTCACCTGCATTGACAGCCGATGTTATTGAGAGTCTGAGCAGCGCTCAGGTTACCTGCCCCAGGGAAGGTCACACAGCTCTTAAAGGAGCCAGCTCTTGAGTTTCTGCCCATCAGGCTTCTGAGATGCGGGGAAGTGACACAGATGTCTCTGAGCTATTTCGAGGAGTAGGGAGAAGATTCTAGATGAGGGCTGGAGCTGAGAAGGGGTGAGGGAGGGAAGCTCTGCTCGGTCAAGAGAGAAGAGAAGGGTGGGGCCCAGTGTACTGAGGTTGGTGCTCTCTGGGCTCTGGCTCCCCCTGCTTCCCGTCCTCAGCTTATGCTGACCCTGCTCCCCCTGCCCTGGGCAGCAGCCAGGCCCCTCTGCACAGGCTGAGACCGAAGGAGGGGTGAGGGGTCAGACCACAGGGAAGCCCTTCTCCCGAGGGGTCTTTTTTCACTCAATGCTCTCCCATCAGCTTCACACTCACCTTGAACAGAGTCATTGAGTTCCGTACAGTTCGTGTTGTTGACACACACTCTCCAGATGTCTGCAAAAAACTCCTCTCCTACCCACCAGGCCTGGAACACGACAGGAAAACACAGGGAAAGGGTGTTTGTTCATTATGAAAACAAAGGCCTCTAGGGCTTCCCTGGTGTCTCAGTGGTAAAGAATCCAGGTAAAGAATGCAGGAAACACAGGTTCGATCCCTGAGTCAGGAAGATCCCCTGGAGAAGGAAATGTCTATCCACTCTAGTATTCTTGCCTGGGAAGTCCCATGGACAGAGGGACCTGGCAGGCTACAGTCTGTGGGGTTGCAAAGAGTCAGACATGACTGAAGTGACTGAACATGCATGCACGTGGCCAAAAAAATAAATGTTAAAAAATTGTTAAAACTAAATTAAATTTAAAAATTAAGAGAAAAAGAGGTTTGGGGTGGGAGTGTCTGTTTCTAACAGGCTTCCAGGTGATGCCCATGCTGCTGGGGTGCTGACAGGGACTCTCCCAGGACTTGGGTGAGGAGGCGAGGCTCAGCTGGTGATGATAAGAGCAGATGGTGGTGAATTCCCCTGGAACTGCAGGGGGGAAGCTGGAGGGGAGGACAGAAAGGATAATATCTCGGGGGGAAGCCTGTTATGAATGAAATGATCAAACAAGATTCTCCTGCCTTCGGTCCGAGTGCTTCTGTGTCTCTCTGTGTTCCTGTTCCCCTTTGCGCCCAGATAACCTTTCTTCTGGGCTTCCCAGGTGGTACTAGTGGTAAAGAATCGACCTGCCAATGCAGGAGACATAAGGGATGTGGGTTCGATCCCTGGGTCGGGAAGATCCCCTGGAGGAGGGCATGGCAACCCACTCTGGTATTCTTGCCTGGAGAATCCCCATGGACAGAGGAGCCTGGCGGGCTACAATCCATGGGGTCACAGAGTCAGACACGACCGAAGCAACTTAGCACACATGCATGACCTTCCTTCTGCTTTCCATACACCCAAAGACTGGAATCTCCCCAACCCACCACCAATCACCCAGGCCACGGTCGGCCACTGAGCTCTCACCACGGGCCCCTCTGACACTGCCAAGTGTAATTTCTAACACATAATAAAGATCGAGTGACTCATCGACTGGTAAAAATGCCCACCTGTGTCTTCTCAGTAAGGCCCATGGTAACAGAAACACCCATAGGATAAGCTGGTGCTGTGGCTGATGGCTTTTCTGCCCCTAACGTCCATGTATCCCTTTCACTCTGTCTGGGACCTTTTCAGGATCCCAGGGGCTAGATACAAGAAACAGAAAAAGATTCTAAAAGCATGTTCAACTGTTGGTGGGAATGCAAACTAGTACAGCCGCTATGGAGAATAGTGTGGAGCTTTCTTAAAAAAACTGGAATTAGAACTGCCATATGACCCAGCAATCCCACTTCTTGCCATACACACCGAGGAAACCAGATCTGAAAGAGACACGTGCACCCCAATGTTCATCGCAGCACTGTTTATAATAGCCAGGACATGGAAGCAACCTAGATGCCCATCAGCAGACGAAGGGATAAGGAAGCTGTGGTACATATACACCATGGAATATTACTCAGCCATTAAAAAGAATTCATTTGAATCAGTTCTAATGAGATGGATGAAACTGGAGCCCATTATACAGAGTGAAGTAAGCCAGAAAGATAAAGACCAATACAGTATCCTAACGCATATATATGGAATTTAGAAAGATGGTAAGGATAACCCTATATGCAAAACAGAAAAGGAGACACAGATGTACAGAACAGAATTTTGGACTCTGTGGGAGAAGGCGAGGGTGGGATGTTTCGAGAGAACAGCATCAAAACATGTATATTATCTAGGGTTAAACAGATCACCAGCCCAGGCTGGATGCATGAGACAAGTGCTCGGGCCTGGTGCACTGGGAAGACCCAGAGGGATCGGGTGGAGAGGGAGGTGGGAGGGGGGATAGGGATGCAGAATACATGTAACTCCATGGCTGATTCATGTCAATGTATGACAAAAACCACTACAATACTGTAAAGTAATTAGCCTCCAACTAATAAAAATAAATGAAAAATAAATAAATAAAAGCATGTTCAAAACCATTCGGTTCACATAGAGTGGGTCTTTTGGATAATGGTAGGTTCCCAAGGCTTCAACAAGGTGGTCCCTGACCTGGCCACTCATGACAGCTCTTCTAGAACCCCAGGAGCCCCAACCCAAACCCAATCATTCATCTCCCTTAGGGCGTCTAGAACCAGAGGCCTCTGGAATGCTTCAAATCCCAGCTCCGCCACTTCCTGACCTAAAAATTGCAGCAGGCGCCTTAACTGCCCTAAGGCCCAGGTCCCTCATCATAAAATAGTGCCGGGAGAGGACGGATCTGGTAGACTTGAGGTTACAATCACAGGAGATGATCAAAGGGCTGAGCGTAGGAGCTCCAGAGTGTGCAGCCTCTAAGTGACAGGTCTTATCCTGGTCCAAGTTGCTATTATTATTTTGATGATGAATTGACAGGAGTCAATTATATGATTATATGCAGACTGACCTGGAGGCCACTTGTACAGTGCCCTTTCTGGCTTCCTGAGCAGAGTTTCTGACTCTAAATGCGTCCACAGTCTGAAGCCGTCAGGACTGAAGCCAGGCCTTTGGATCAGGATGTGGGCCATAGGGAACATCTGGTTAAAAACTTCATTTTTCTGCCAGGGGGGATGTTAATCTGTGCCAATCTGTTATTTATCAAATGCACCCCTGCCATGTGGATACTCAAAGAAAAAAATTGAATCTTTCATGGGTACGTAGTCAGAGTGGGGAGTGTTCCACTCTGCTGGGAAGGGCATGGTCAGGTGGGCTTGCAACAAGAATCCTGTTGGTTAAGGAGATGTCAGAGGCAAGAGGGGCAAAGGTTACCTGGGATGGGTCACCTGAGGGATCTAGGGCAATGGTCCTCAAGCAAGGGTGACTTTGCCTCCCAGGGGACATTTGGCAATGTCTGAAGATATTTTGGGGTGTCACAACTAGGAGCAGGAGTGCTGCTGGAGACCAGGGATGCTGCTAAACACCCTATGATGTGCAAAGCACCCACAACAAAGAAAATTGTTCAGTCACTAAGTCATGTCCGACTCTTCTCAACCCCTTGGACTGCAGCACGCCAGCTCTCCTGCCCTTTGCTGTCTCCTGGAGCTTGCTCAAAATCATGTCCATTGGGTTGGTGATGTTGTCTAACCATTTCGCCCTCTACATCCCCCTTCTTCTTTTGCCTTCAATCTTTCCCAGCAACAGGGTCTTTTCCAGTGAGTCGGCTCTTTGCATCAGGTGGACAAAGTGTTGAGGTTTCAGCTTCAGCATCAGCCCTTCCAATGAATATTCAGAGTTGATTTCATTTAGGATTGACTGGTTTGATCTTCTTGGTGTCCCAAAATGACAACAGTGGTAAAGTTGAGAAAATGACCTGAGGAGAGCTGAATTTAAGCCACATCTACAAAGGGCTTCCTACAGCTAAGGCATCTGAGGGGGACTCAGGGATGAGTGGACCAAGGTCCCTGCCCATCCAGACTTATATATGGGATGCTTCAAACTCCCACACTTCAGTCAAGAGTCCTCAGGCCTGGGGCTGAGGAGATAGGTGTGCCTTGGTAGGGTGCGAAGTGAAAAGTCGCTCAGTTGTGGCTGACTTTTATAGTCCATGGAATTCTCCAGGCCAGAATACTGGAGTGGGTAGCCTTTCCCTTCTCCGGGGGATCTTCCCAACCCAGGGATCGAACCCACGTGTCCCATATTGCAGGCGGATTCTTTACCAGCTGAGCCACCAGGGAAACCCTTGGTAGGCAGGATAAACCCAAATTATAATCACCTTGTGGGAGTTCTCAACCCTGCTTCTATTGACTCGAGGATCCAGGGGTTCTGGGAAGGTCAGAAGGAAAGGGAACTTACATTGTCAATGGTGGCGACGAAGAGCAAGGCTGCGGACGTGATGTGGAAGATGATGATGAAGGCCAGAAGCACCAACATTTTCAGGGGGCACCGTGGGGCGCAGAGCAGCGTTTAAAGCCCAGATGAGATGTGCTAAACAGGGTGAAGGAAATTCAAATTTGTCAGTGATAAAGCACTAGGAAAGTGAAAAATTAAACTTTCATGTGATTTTAGAAAAGCTTAAACAGCGCTTCCCATCTTTCCTTTGCCTGGAGACTTCACTGGACAAAGTCTGGCATGAGGAGCTGCTCTCTTTTGCATCCAGAGGCCAGATGTTCCTCGTGGAGGAGGCAGAGTGAGGATCAATTACAATCGCTAATTCAGAAGAGCACTGCAGTCTTCAAAGCAGCACACTGCGGGCACCAGGGCAGGAAGGAGCCTCTATGAGTGTGCTAAAATACTGTTTCAGATCCCCACCCACCAAGCAATGCCGTGGGGACTTCACAGCACCAGAGTAAGCTCACTGTATGAGTATGCATTATCACAGTCCCTGCTGCCTTGCTGCATAACAAAGCAAAAGTGATCAACTAGGAAAATATTTCCTAAAGACCTATTTATAAAATTAATGCCAAAGGAAGTTGGTGCAGTCACTATGGGAGACAGTATGGAGGTTCCTTAAAAACCTAGAGTTGCCAGGTGATCCAGCAAGCCCGTTCCTGGGCACACATCTTTGTATCGAAAAGATCCAAATAAGAAAGCAAAGAAATTAAGTATTCAAAAGAATGCTTTGAATATCAAAGGACAAAAAGTAACACTTGGGAAAACTGATGAAGTCTTTGAATATTTGTAAAAAAACAGACCATCATGTTGGTCAAACAAAACGAAAATGTCAAGTAAAAATGTCACATCAACTAATCCAGGTGAACGAGTGAATGCTACCAACCCTCCAGATCAATACATGATTCATTCTTCTTTCACTCCAATCATTTGTGGCCAGTTATCATTACTAAGATTTTGTAGAACATAAAATTAATTTTTAGTTTCACTTTGAAAAACACAGTCCAAATCAGACCTTGTTTTCACTATTTTATGATATTATAGCACCAGTTTTCAGTGGGTTGATTTTATTTTTTTAACCCTCTCTTTCTCTCCCTCCAAATACCCCATCCCCCCAAACACACATTGTGTGCTGAACCATTTGAGAGTAGGTTCCCTATGCCATCTCTTTGAGAGAGATAAGTTTCATCTAAATTATTTCATCTGATTGATGACTGTCATTTATAAATGTATTGCTACTTCTATCTTGGGTATTACTTTGGGAAAGATGTACGGCTTCATCACATACTCTAATGTACTGTCTATAGATTATAAGATAAACTCAAGCATGTATCTGCTGATACTTTTTAAGTGGACCTGTCTTTATACTTAGAAACGTCTCTTAATAGTAGGCTTCCCTGGTGGCTCAGATGGTAAAGAATCTGCCTGCAATGCAGGAGACCTGTGGCCTGTGTTCGATCCCTACATTGGGAGGATCCCCTGGAGAAGGAAATGGCAACCCACTCCAGTATTCTTGTCTGGGAATCCCATGGGCAGAGGAGCCTGGGGGGCTACAGTCCATGGGATCACAAAGTGTCGGACACGACTGAGCGCCTCTCACTCACTCACTCTGTCTGTGACATATGTCTAAATATTTCAGGGTGCCTCTCTGAGAAAACAAGGCCATCGCTGTACATAACACAGCATGATAATCCCCCAAACTTTACATTATATAGTACTTTTATCTCATCTACAGTCCATATTCAAATTTCTCCAATAATCTCAGTAATGGCCTCAGCTATTTTTTTGGTCCAGGGCAAATCCAAGATAACTCGTTGCATTTTTTGGTCTTATCTCTTTATGGTTCCTCAGACTTTCTTGGGAGAAGGCAATAGCAATCCACTCCAGTACTCTTGCCTGGAAAATCCCATGGACAGAGGAGCCTGGTAGGCTATAGTCCATGGGGTTCTGAAGAGTTGGACTGAGCGACTTCACTTTCACTTTTCACTTTCATGCACTGGAGAAGGAAATGGCAACCCACTCCAGTGTTCTTGCCTGGAGAATTCCAGGGACAGAGGAGCCTGGTGGGCTGCCGTCTATGGGGTCGCACAGAGTCAGACACGACTGATGTGCTTAGCAGCAGCAGCAGTAGCAGCCTTTCTTGGCCTTCCTAGCACTGATTAAGTAGAGTACTGACCATTTATTTTGTAGAAAGTCTCCTTTTTTCTTTTTTTCTAGAGGCATAGAATACATTGAAACTTAAACAAGAATTTAAATATATTTCCTTTTAAAATTGAAGTACAGTTGATTCACAATATTATTTGAGTTTCAAGTATGCAACACAGTGATATGATATTTTTAGAGATTATAGTCCATTTAAAGTTATTACAAAATACTGGCTGTATTCCCTGTGCTGTATAATATATCCTTGCAGCATATTTATTTACTATAATTAAATTTATTTATTTTTAACTGAAGGATAATTGCTCTAAAATATTATGCTGGTTTCTGCTAAACATTAACATGAATCAGTCATAGCATTTCATGGCAAATAGATGGGGAATCCATGGAAATAGTGATTTTCTAGGGCTCCAAAATCACTGCAGATGGTGACTGCAGCCATGAAATTAAAAGATGCTTACTTCTTGGAAGAAAAGCTATGACCAAACTAGACAGCATATTAAAAAGCAGAGACATTACTCTGCCGACAAAGGTCCATCTAGTCAAAGCTATGGTTTTTCCAGTAGTCATGTATGGGTGTGAGAGTTGGACTATAAAGAAAGCTGAGCACTGAAGAACTGATGCTTTTGACCTGTGGTGTTGGAGAAGACTCTTGAGAGTCCCTTGGACTGCAAGGAGATCCAACCAATCTATCCTAAAGGAAATCAGTCCTGAATATTCATTGGAAGGACTGATGCTGAAACTGAAACTCCAATACTTTGGCCACCTGATGGGAAGAAATGACTCATTGGAAAAGACTCTGATGCTGGGAAAGATTGAAGGCGGGAGGAGAAGGGGATGACAGAGGATGAGATGATTGGATGGCATCACCAACTCAATGGACGTGAGTTTGAGTAAGCTCCGGGAGTTGGTGATGGACAGGAAATCCTGGCGTGCTGCAGTCCATGGGGTCGCAAAGAGTCGGATACGACTGAGCAACTGAACTGAATGAACTGATATCTATGTCCCCTCCCTCTAGAACCTCCCTACCACCTCTCTCCCCATCCCACCCCTCTAGGTTGCTACAGAGCCCCGGTTTGAGTTTCCTGAGTCACAGAGCAAATTCCCATTGGCTATCTACTTTACATAGGGTAACATATATGTTTCCATGTTACTTTCTCCATATGCCACCCACTCCTTCACCTGTACCCACCGCCCATGTCCATAAGCCTGTTCTTTACATCTGTGTCTCCATTACTTCCGTGCAAATAGGTTCATCAGTACATGAAAGTCTCTATTTTTAAATGCTTCCTAATGATTAGATTCAGGGTATGTTCTTTTGGCAAGAATATTACAGACTCTTGTGACTTTGGTGTGTTCCACCAGGAGGCATAGGATGTCAGGCTGTCCATTATTGGTGATGCTAACTTTGATTAAGGGGTTCAGGGTCACCAGATTTCTCCATTGTGCACTTTTCCTTTGTAATTAAAAAGTAACTTCTGGGGAGGTATTTTTTAAACTGTGATAAAATGCACATCATTTTAAAATGTACTACTAATGACATTTAGTACATCCACAAGGTTGTACATCCATCACCACTGTCTAGTTCCAGAACACTTCCTCTCCTTGAAAGGAAACCTTGTACCCATGAAGGAGACACTCCCCATTCCTCCCTCCACTCAGCCCCCAGCAACCATTAATCTGCTCTCTGTCTATGGATTTGCTGATTCTGGATATTTCATAAAAAATGAAATGACACAAGATTTGTCCTTTTGTGTCTGGCTTCTTTCATTTGGTAGTATTTTCTAGGTTCATCCCTGTTGTAGCACGTGTAGGTAGATATTTTGGGTCAACCTTAAGATCCAATCTCTCATTAAAATGTCACCCCAACAGTTTGAGCATCCACTGGTATTTCTGAAGTAGAATCACTTAAAATAGGCTTTTTTTGGACAAATACCATATGCTATCACTTATATGTGGAACCTAAAATACAATGCAAATGAACAGATCTACGAAAAAGAAACAGACTCATGGACATAGAGAACAGCCTTGTGGTTGCCACGGGGTGGGGAGGGCAAGATTGGGAGTTCAGGATTGGCAGATGTAAACTATTGTATATAGAATGGATAAACAACAAGGTCCTACTGTATAGCACAGTGAACTATATCCAGTATCCTGTAATATACCATGATGGAAAAGAAGATGAAAAAAAGCATGTGTATATATATATATATATACACATACATATATATAACTGAATCACTTTGCCAGATAGCAGAAATTAACACATTGTAAATCAATTATACTTCAATAACATTTTTTAAAAAGAATAAAATAGCCTTTTTCTGACACTAACTCTCCCACTTAGAGAGCTGCACTGCACAACACCCTCCACCCTTTCTCTGCTCACTCTCAATCATGGGACACATTGTTCCCTCATGAGACTGACAAAGGCTCGTGAGCTCACACAGGGGCCGCTCTCTGAGACCCAGGACTCATGAGCAATGAGCCAGGAGCTGAGTTTCCAGCCGCCATTCTGTGTATGCATCATCACTTGGAAGAACCCAATGAACCAGCTCACAGATTCTTCCAATTCTTTCAAAAAGGACAAATTCCCCTTTGTTCAGGCCTGCGTCATTCTTAGCTGCCATCCTATGCTGCCTTCAAATAGATGTATTTCTGGTCCTCACAAAAAACAGGGCATTACCACACTGAATGCCACGTTCCTTCAATATCAGCTGGAAGGCCAAAATGTCAGCATCACAAGCAGTGCCAGTAATTCCAGGGTGATAATAGCTTTACATGTTGTTCAGTTCAGATGGCACAAATACATAAAGACACATAACTAAACCTTTCTGGAACAGGAAAGAAAGACTTGAACTCTTTCCTAAAGGGTGGAATTC